CNNACTTCACAGTTATTTTCATGAACGTATTCGACCCCTTGCCAGGTTTTCATTTTTCAAATTTCAAATTAAGTGCTTGCCACTTGTCAATCTTGTAATCTCAAACGTCATGTCTACAGATGCTTCGCAGTCCGTGCCGTCCTAATACAGAGTGCCCAATAAATGTCGCATTAATAGTGTTCGTTCGATATTTCCTCTTTAATCTGGCGATCACGATTATTTCCTTTCACCTTGTCCTTTTTATCTCATAGGTCCATTTTCATCTCGATCTAACGGCTATAGTCAGTTGATCTCTTGGCGTTTCCCTTTCTTTTTGTTATAAGTAGAACCCTTAAATCATTTTTACAACTTTTGAGTTTTTACTGCTTAAACACCACTGTCGACCACCATGCTCTGCAACTTCCCCGCAATAACCAGCAATCTTCACGATGTCGACGAGTAAGTTTTTCTTCCTTGTTTGAAATATATATTTGCATGTTCGATTTCTTTTTTCAATTTTCTTCTTTGCCCTTCCTCTCCCGAACTCTTTCTTCCTTAATTTCCCCTTTTTAAACCTAAAATTTCCTTTTCTCTCTTCTTATTTCTTAGATTTACCCGCCTCCCGTGCCACCAGCAAATCCGTCACTGCCTTCTTCGGCCAGGATATGAGTCCTTCGAGCTCCTTTGCGACCTCTTCTTCTTCTCTTGCGCCTATCCTCGAGCCTTCTCTTGGGCCTGTCTTCTGAGAGGAATCAAAGATGTCTCGAATCTAGATATCCGCAAGAAATCAAAAGGATGGCCACAACCCTAATGCCGGCCATTGCCGTGAACACACCACTGGCCAACCATATAAGAAATTTTGGTGAAATTGTCAGTAAAAATGTTGATGCGTAGGAAGTTCGTTTGCAAGTGTTGGCGTAATTTAATCACAAGCCAATCTTTCGCCAAAAAGTATCCCATGCGTCATTTTTATCAACAATATTATGTACCTATAGCATTTCTCTTGTTTATAAACTTTGAGTTAGTTAATATTTTACTGGTTTTAGACAGTTGTTTTCATGTTGTTTGACAGATGTTATATTATTGTTTTATCATTACGTTTTTTGTTTGTTGTTTTCATAATGTATATCATTAATTTTTAAAGTTATAATAACAAACATTTTGTTGCTTTTAGTTAATTTAATTGTTATGTGTGTATATAACCAAATGGTCAATCTTTTCATTTATATTTTATTTTTTGGTTGTTTTTTATGCATTCATGTTTGGAGGAGAAGAAGAAGAATAAATATTTGGAGAAGAAGAAAAATAAGAGAAGAAAATGAGAAGAAGAAGAAAGAAATTACGTTGGGAAAGATAATGAAGTGTGTGTTTGTATGCAAATAAACTCAATTCATACTCAAAGTACAACTCAACTTTAACCCAACCTCACTGTCCTCAATATTATTAATATAACTAAATAACACAAATCAATTATTCTTACATATTACATCAATTTTAATTCATTATTATTTACTCCCATGATTTTAAATAACAATTACTTCACATCATTTCTCTTCCACCTTTACTTCAAATCAACTTTAGTTATTTTTAGTTTAGATATTATTTTAGTATAAATTTAAATTTTCACTAACAACTAATTATATCACATTTTTTTAAATTAACCCTGATTAACAAAAACAAAAAAAAAAAACTCATTTTGAGCGGATATATTTGTACACAAGCACGCCCGAAGAGAGAGAAGCAAGAGACATGAATAGTTTTAGCCTACTTGGATGAAAAACCAAGGTGACATCCAAAAACTCATAAAGAGTAATGCTATTTAGCCTACTTGAATGATAACTTGAGTTACAACCCAAGTGTAAATGTATTATCAAAAAGTTAAAAAAATGTTGTATTTACACTTGAGTTGTAACCCAAGTTGTCATTCAAGTTGACTATATAACATTACTCTAATATAAATGATGCTTCGGGTGCTGAAAAGGCCCACTTGAAGGACCCATCTCGTCATGGATACTTTTCTGTTCTTCTTGGCAACTATTCTATTTGTACTATCTCTCTAGCTAGAGAAATGCTATAGGTACATAATATTGTACATAGAGATGTACATAACACTCACATTGAGTGGGACCCACCAAAATAAAAAATCAAGTGGACCCCACTCCATGTGAGTGTTATGTACACCTCTATGTACATTTATTATGTACTTGTAGCATTTTTCATCCAGCAATCGATCTTGTCCCCATCCCCTCTTAATATAATTTCAAAACATGTTGAACCTAAATGGCTGTCTCGCACGCTTTGGAATCTTACTTGGCAGCATTACATGCTTCGGCTTTTGGTTCGGATACATTCCCTATTTTTTTTTTTTTCGAAACAATAGATATATTATATATAAAACGCACAAATGTGCAAAAGTACAACCAACAGCTGAATACAAACAGCTAACAGCTGAATACAGACAGCCAATGACTGAATAAAATGGGAGGACAGGTCCAAGACCGCCTAGAGCCAACCCCAACAGGTAATACTCACGAACACACAAAACCCAAAATACTAAAACACTAAAACACTAAAAGGCCCCAGCAGGATAATACCCGAGTGTCTGATCCCAACAGGATAATAAGTTGACACTCGGGTCATTCCCTAATTGTTTAAAATAAAATACTTAATAAATAAGATTTTAGATAGGATTCTTATATGCCGTGTAAATCCTTCAACTCCAAAATAAATAGAATTCTGATCTTATATGCCGTGTAAATAGAATTTTTTTACTTAATATTATAATATATATCCCTCAAGTTAATACAATTATATTGTCGGATTATCCATGAATATATCAAATAAAATTACATAATTCTTTATTAAGTTAATAACTTTTGTATTTCTTATCAGTTTTACATATATGATATATCAAATTAATCATCTCTTGATGAGTTTTGATTTAACATCCATATTGTATGTATAAAAAAATTTATATTTATCTTTATAAAAATAATAAAATTATTTTTAATATTAATGAGAAAAATAATGTTATTTATCAATTATATTATGGAATATGACTCCGCTAATTAATGATCCACATACGAAGTTGTGCTTATGATCAAAAGTAATACTGTCACTTTTATGTAGGAAAAGATGATCAATTGTAGTTAATTAAGAATTTTTTACAACAAAGTAGAATTGATTTAATAGTAAAATATCTTTTAACACTTTATTTGTGGGCAATAAAATAACAGTTAAATATTGTGTTCCCTAACCCAAAGTTACAATCTTTTGCTTTTCCTCTCTTTATTAAGTAAAAAATTAATCTATTTTGTTTAATATTAAATAAACATATTCTGCACTTATGCATATGTATATTACCATATTATTTTTATTTATTTAAGATATATATTTTTCTACTTAATAATAGTAAATAATATCGATAATTTTATATGATTTAAGTAAAATTCAATATGAGATAACATTTTTATTTAATATACGGGTGTTTAATTATTATAATTAAAAAAATATAATTTGACAATTTAATTAAAACGCAAAGTAATGTTTTATATAAAATTAATTTATATTTTAAATAAAATAATATTTTTTACATATACTTCCTAATCCAACACGTACTAGTTATTATATTAACTAGTATTCGACCTTGTGCATTTGCACAGATGTAAATAAAATTAAATATTATAAGTTATATTTATGTATATAATATAAAAATTATAAGTTATATAATTGTATTATATTTCAAACATATAGTATTATAAGTTATATTTATGTATATAATATTAAAATTATAAATTATATAATAGTATTATATTTTAAAATTTGATCATTGGTTAAAATAAATAGTACAAACGATTTGATTGTATACGAATCACTATATTGATTGCATAAAATGCAATAAATATATACTTTTTATAATTTTGAGTGATCATGAACAATTAATTAGCTGGAATATACTACATTTATTATAACAACTGCTTATGTGATTTTAAGAAATTTTACTATGACATAAAAAAAGTTAATTTATTAATAAACAACATCTTCATCATATAAAAAAATATTGATTTTAGTGTAAAATATAATTTTATGTAACTTTCATATATTATTTAGTATAAAATATAATTACTAATTTTAATATTAACTATTATATTATTCAATAAAAAATATAATTATTAATCAATTAACATAAAATATAATGGTTTTTGTCTTAATTAACCCAAAAAATGTAATGAAATATTTTCTTATTAATGAGATTAGGTGTATTAATGCCACATAAATAAAATTTATTAGGTTCTATTTTGTAGGTTTTATTAATGATTTGCCACATAGGTAAAATTTATTAGGTTTTATTTATTAGGTAAAATTTATTGCTTACCTAGCAATTATAGATATATAGATAGAATAAGTTATCTGTCTACACATTATTATATTGGTCACACATACACATACGCAAAGCACCAATAAAACTCACGAGATTTTCTTTCTTTATCTATGACGATTCGTAATTGTATGTGGGGTTGACCATTTCTGTTTCCGGGTTTCAGAAAGGAATGGGCTTTTGTAGTTAATGTGGGCACCGTCTTTTCGTTCTTGAAAACGAAAACCAGCGGCCATGGATGCTTCTGGGTTGGAGGGTAATGATTCTTCCTTTTTCTTTATTATTATCTGATATTCTTATTATTTCGTGCTGAATATATGTGGGATATTGTTATGTTGTTCTTTGATTTATTGTCGATACTTTTTATGCAAATGTTTTTATGTTTTTTTACATAAAACAAATGGGTTTTGAGTTTTTGTTGATAATGGGTCGTTAGGTTCATGGTCGATCTGTTTGATAGTTTGCTTCACGCGTGAAACAGTGTTTATGGGGTTGGTTAACTTCTTTTTCTTTTTATTTTTTTTTCTATTTTTCTGATCAAATTGACACACACGCAAACAATCTATAATTGCTCTGTTTTAGTTTATGAGAAAAAAATTTCACCTGTTAATTGTTATTCAGATACTACATTAGTATTTATGACATTTACCTACTATGAGTGGCTTATTGCTGCCTGAATAAATTCACAGTTGTCATTTTGGTGTTTTTTCGAGAACCTGCAAGAAGGTTACCTAAAGATTTCTGGATGTGTATCTTTATTTGATTCGAAAAAATCAATTTTTTTCAGCTTAGTACACTGCATTGAATATGCATTTTGTTATTTGTTTTCAGTATTGGCAAGGATTTTGTTTATGGTGAATAGTTTTTTGTTAGAATTTGGATTACATTTACAAAGCATTTTGGTTTTCTTAGACTGACTCCATTGCCATCATTCAATCAATCTTTAAAATTGTAGATTTGGGATTTTTGAAGTATTAGCAAGTGTGTTCAATATACCACAAAGGTCTTTTTATAAAACCCAAAGGTTGAAGTATCTGAATAACAATTATCTCCCTTTTCTTTTTCTGTATGAACAAGGCAATGGAATTACATGCATCTAAGGACTGAAATGTTTTAGGTTTCGATCGTTATTTAGCTGATTGATCTAATCATCTTAGTAAAAGACATGTGAATCTTGAAAGGAAAGATTGTTTCTTTCATATCTTATTTCTACAGTTCCATTCCTTTTATCTTTTCCACTCAGCATAGTTTTCCTTATACCCATCATTTTTCTGGGTTCCGGAATACTTACTCTTAGGACTTGGCTATCTTTCAAAATTTCAAATATATTATTAAATTTGTTTCCCCATTGCAACTTCCCAGCCTCATGGTTTTTCCTTTTCCTTTTGCTTTTTTATTTATTTATTTATATTTATTTTGGTGATTAGGCCAAAACTCAGGTTAGTTTCTTTTATATTTCTAAGACTAGCCTTATTGGAAATCAATTATTCGGAAATTTATGTTTTTTGGTGATGGTTTTTCTTTCTCTCGTTCTTTCTTTTTTATTTTTTGTATCCATCAGCATTATTTGATCCATCAACGTTCAACAAATTGAGCATGGACCAAAAACGGCAACTTGTCCGCGAGATGTCCAAATGGCCTGATGGCGCTACCGAAATCCTACAGTCTTGGACCCGTCTCGAGCTTCTCCAGATCCTCTGTGCCGAGCTCGGTAAAGAAAGGAAATACACCGGTCTATCAAAGTCAAAAATCATCGAACAACTCCTGAGAACAATACATGAGAAAAATTCCAAGGAATTTGGGCACACCAATATCCCCGAAAACCAGCAGCTCTTGTTAGAAAATGGTGAAAGAAGTCCCAAAAGGCAGAAGAAATCCGACCCTCCAAATCGAGTGCCTGCAGACGCAAGTGGGGCCATGTCTGTTGATCTTGAAGTCGAGTCCAGTAGTATTGTGTACTGCAAGAACTCGGCATGTAAAGCTAAATTGAGTAGTGGGAGTGTTTTTTGCAAGAGGTGCTCATGCTGTATTTGCCGCCAGTATGATGACAACAAAGATCCGAGCCTTTGGCTGATGTGTAATACAGACCCACCTTTTCATGGGGTGTCTTGTGGAATGTCATGCCACCTGGAATGCGCGTTGAAGCATGAGAATTCGGGTATTTCTCAGGATAAGGGACTTGATGGGAGTTTCTGTTGTGTGTCTTGTGGGAAGATTAATGATTTGCTGAGGTAAAAATGTTATTTTTTTTTTTTTTTTTTTTATTGGTATTTGTATGATCTGTTCTGCAGCATTATGTGATTTTACTTGCTTCGAGATTTGGAATTGTGTTACTTTATTGGTATTTGTATGATCTGTTCTGCAGCATTATGTGATTTTACTTGTTTCGAGATTTGGAATTGTGTTGCTTCTATAACTGCTTCTTAAATCTTAATTATAAGTAGTTGATATGAACTTGATTTTTTCAATAAGAACAATTATTCTTCTGCTTGAATCAATTTTTGTTTGTGTAATATATTAGGAATGGTTGCTCTTAGGCAGTGAGTGCTAAGTTTGTGTCTTAAGATCATGCTTTGATTCCTGAAGAGTTTTGTTTAGACGACTTCTAATGTTTTACTCTTTTATTTTACTCTAACCAGATGAATAATAAATAAGCGTTTTGTACAATTCGGCTGTAAATGTTAGGACTCCTGATACATTTAATTAATTTATTTATTTATTACAAGAAATATAAGTTCATAGCAAATCTTTGTTTCAGACTTTAATATCTGGTTTAGTCTTTTTATCTGGTTGCTAACCTAATGCTGCTTTGTATATGATAGATGACAGAGTTTTTTGATTTGTTGAATATGGAAAACTGTGGCTAAATGTACTTTCCACCTGGCTCACTCCAGTTCTGTTTGCTGATTAATCTTTGGATTAATCACAGTAAGCACTCTTGAGGTTTAGTCTGACTACAAAGAAGCTCAATTATATTCCAGAATCACCAACATCCCCCATTGATATGGATTTATGTTCTACAACTTACACTCAAGATAAGGGTTACAAAACTCAATGAGCTGTTGTAATATCTTAATGCTGTACTTGCATGTTCTTAAGGGTGATAAATGATTGCATTTTCTTGCAATTGCGTCAAACTTTTTTTTTTTTTCCTCTTGTGGAAAATTAATAATAGTGGAAAATGAATTATAAATCCAGCTCATGGAAAAAGCAAATAGTGGCGGCAAGGGACACCAGGCGAGTCGACATACTTGGCTACAGGCTCTCATTGGGCCAAAAGATTCTTGCGGGCACTAAACATTATCAGAATCTTTATGACATCATTGATGAAGCAGTGAAAAAGCTCGAGGAAGAAGTGGGCCCCTTAACCGGTTTACCCGTGAAAAAGGCAAGAGGGATTGTTAACAGGCTATCATCTGGGCCCGAAATTCAGAGGCTTTGTGCTTCTGCTGTCGAGTCCCTCGACCTTATACTCTCTAACCGAGTGTCCGAGATGCCCTCTGGTGCTCTCTCTCTCTCTCTCTGTCTCTCTCTCTGTCTCTCTCTCTCTCTCTCTATTTCTGAAAAAAGTTGATATTTTTGCTGTCTGATGTGATACCTGACTTTAACGCGATCCTTTACAAAAAATTCCCAGGTTACAATACACTCGCCTCGAAACTCGTCCAATTCGAGGACATTGGCGCCACATCACTCGCGGTCAACCTCCATTCAGACGAGTCAAACGTCGAGAATCTCGTCGGCTATTCCCTATGGCACCGTAAAGCCGACGAACCAGACTACTCCGCGGACCCCACTTGCCGGTTATTCGAGCCCAACACAAAGTTTCTTCTCTCGGGCCTTACTCCCGACACTTTGTATTTCCTAAAGGTCGCCATACTCAACACCGACAGAGAGATGGGCCTCTACGAATTCCAGTTTCAGACCGCATGTGCACAGGATGAGGCCCTAAATACAAACTCGGAAAGTCAAAGTCAAAGTCCAAGTCCAAGTCAAAGTCCGGCTACCAATTGTAGCACACTGTCAAATCCTTCTTCAGTTGAGGACGAGACTAATAACATTATCGCCACCGATGAGAATGGTAAAATTGCCACTCAACTAAATTTACCTAATGAAATCGCGAAATTCTCTTTGCTGGCCAATAGTAACAAGGAATCCTCAGGAGACTGTACGGCCCAAAATGGGCCCGAACGGGCCCCAGTCTCAACTGGCTTGGAATGTGTGCCTTATGTCGCCAGCTCGGAGGCTAACTTGCCTATAACTCCTTGCAAGTTCGAAAGTTCGAAAGATGAAAAAAATAGGCCTAATTTCAAGGACGGGTCGAAAAAGAGAGATGGGAAAAATCGGAACAAAGATTTCGAGTATTACGTGAAAGCCGTAAGGTGGCTTGAGTGTGAGGGTTATATAGAAACGGGGTTTAGAAAGAAGTTCTTGACTTGGTATAGCTTGAGAGCTAATTCTCAGGAAGTACGTGTCGTGAAGGTTTTTGTTGACACGTTTATCGAGGATCCAGAGTCGCTTGCCGGGCAATTAGTCGACACGTTTTCGGATGTTATTTCGAACAATGGGTGCTCGAGGGTGCCTGCTGGGTTTTGCATGAAGCTTTGGCACTGAGATTATACATTGTCAGTTTAAGATACGGTGTTAGGTGTCTTGTGCTTCTTTTAGGGATCTGAGGATGGGAAAATGTGAGGTTTTTGGGTGGTTTTTTATTCTTTAAATTTGTTAAACTATTCTTGATTGTGAAGTGGGAACTAGAGGTATTCAGATTTGATACTTGGGGTTTTGTTGAATGAATCCTCGTTATTTTTTATGAGTTAAAACCATGTATTTTCTGCTGCTGGGGATGATTGATCTGTAGGTATCAAAGTTGCTTTCTGTTTGCAGTATTGCTGAAAACTTGTAAACTAGTGGATTCTTGGTAGACCATATTCTCTGTAAGGAAAAGAACCTACCAATCAAATTACTAAACAAAAAAGTTGAACAAGTGAACTTTTTTATTTTTACTACAATTGATTATATTAAAATAATAATTGAAATTATATTTTTGTCCTGATAAATTTTTTTACCCAAATTACTATTTATTGCCCCTAACTTGGACCAATTCTTACCAAAATTTGCATCTTTACGAATCTCATTCTTCTTTACTTTTACTAAAATCCACATCTTCACCAATCTCATTCCTCTTCATAAGAAATCAACCAACCAATCTCTACATTATTCTTCATTAATCCACATGTCTAGTAATCCAACATCATCGGGAACACTTGAAAATGAGGTACATAATGTGTTAACATCATCGGGAACACTTGAAAATGAGGTACATAATGTGTTAACCCCTATTTTTTTTTACATTGATTTTCATTCACCAATGGGTCTCTTGATTTTTGACTGTTTGAGTTATTTAGGACTTAGATCAATAAACCATATTCATATATATTGTATTAAACTAATGTGATGGGTTGAGTAGGACGGTAGAATGAATAAGGTGATAATAAATGTAGGTTAGGGTTTAAGTTCGTTTAGTAAACGTCCCTGGTAAAAGCTAGAACATGGACTAAACGTCTACTTGCTAAGCTTACATGAGTAAACTTTTTAATGTCAAGCTACATGACCCATGAAACGGCTAATTCGAAAGCTCGACTGTAAATTGAAACATCTAATTCGAAAGCTCGACTGTAAATTGAAACGTCCAGTTCATAAGGGGTAACACAATGTAAATACACAAAGCTTGGAAGCCTATGAAACGTCTAAACGTAAGGCTTGTATGCAGTTCAAGCGTCTGCACCAAAAGCTTGTTTATAATTTTCTTTGTTTATCACCTATATGATTTGTGATTATTATTAATAATTACTTTTTATGAAATGCGGTAATAAAACTGTGTAATTTAACTATTTACACGATGAATTTGAAGATTTTACGGATTGTTTTGAAGCAAGCAAATACATGAGAGTTATAGTTAAGCTCTGCATTATTGTTACTTTCTTGCCATATACTCAAGGTATGAGCTGAATATATTTTCAAAGCATTTACCCACAAGTGTGAGACTTAGATGTAATCGGGCAAACAAAAAGAAATCAAAAGATGGAGGGACTCCAAAGCCATAAAAGAGAAAGAACATAAAGACCATTGTTTGTGGTTCTGAGTTCACGATAATATTGAAAAACTTGACTCCAAAGTCGGAGTTCCATAGTTAGATTATGAAATGTAAAGAGGATAGACACAATCATGAGCCTGTTGAATATACAGAGGGACATCGGCAAATGAGCGGCTTTAGTGTTGAAGCAAAAAAAACTTATACGGTCGATTGGTCATTCTCAAACAAAGCCGCAAAACATATTGTTGATTGTTCAATACTCATTTCCGAAAGACAACCGTCACATAAGAAAAAATTACAACTACAAGGCAAAGCTCTAGAGGGCCTCATCTAGGAAATGGAGTATGATACAACAGTTCTACAAGTTGGCTAAGGGCAACGAGTATGATATTCAATCGCTTAGAGATCATGATACAAAGAAGCTAATTCATGTGTTTTTGGTCCATCCAGAGTCGAAAAATACATTTAGAGCATACCCTTGGGTCATTAACATGGATTCCACATACAAGACAAACAGGTACGAGATGCCTTTGTTCCAAATTATTTGCATGACTCCTAAAAATAATTTTTTTATTGCATTTGCAATTATGAAAGACGAGTCAACTAATAATTACCAATGGGTGTTGAAGAATTTACTGATTTTGATGGGGAACGATATTGAGCCCACAACCATTTTGACTGACAGGGAGATGGGGTTGATGGCTCCCATTAAGGATCAATTTCCTCAGACTTGCTTTGTACTTTCCCCGTCAACAAGAATGTGGAGAATCAAGTGCACGGAAAATTAGGTGGTAATAAAAATGTAAATAGTCGAGATTACGCTCCGTGTTTTAAAAGTGTCACATAGAGACTAGTATGGCAAGCCGACACCATGGAGTAGCACGAAAAGGCCTTGGCGGACATGAGACAAAAATTGTGTCCTCATCCACAAATTTTGCATTATCTTGAGTCCACATGGTTGGATCCACACAAGGAGAAGTTTGTTCGTCTCTGGACAAACCAAGTACAACACTTTGGGAACACAACAACTTGTAGAGTGGAAAGCGCGCACGCCGCCTTGAGAGAATGGCTTAACACATCCTGTAATGCCCCACTTTATTTTAAAAGATTTATCGAATTTATTTAATAAAAATCAGAGTTAATTTTTCGCAAACATCGTTTAAGTTTAAAATTCAATGGGCGCTACTTATTTCACCAAGAGCAATTTATCTAACATATAAAATAGATCAGAATGAACCTACACATTTATCAAGATCCAAAATAACAATTAAATAAAAGCATAATCCCAAAGGTTCAATCCGTCCAACACTTTTCCAAAGTCAAACCAGTTCAAACGTAATCAAATAAACCATAACAAATTCATAAATTCAAAAGTAAATAATAGTCTTAAAAAGCAAGACCACCCACTCGCCTTGCCTCATCACCCGCAAACTGCTTAACCTGCATCCGTGAAGAGCAGATGGGAGTGAGTACAGTTGGAAATATCGTACTCACACTATGCATATGAATAACATAATATTGGTATGGTCGCAACATCATAAACAATAATCACATCATGTCTCATCTCCTATTCAATATCACACCATTTAACCTTACTCCTGTGCACATCTATCGCTAGCCACAGAATGGGGATTCATTACCCGAAGGCGGGAGTACGTGCCACTGTAACGGACACGGCCTTCCATATGGGATTACGTACCTCACATGGGCACGACCATATCAAGACTTAAGGAGATTGCCACACAAGGACACCGTACCGTAACTCGAAAGGGACAATCGTACCGACGGCCGTAACAGCTCACATCGATAGGCTACATGTTCACATGCATACATAGATCATACCAAATTTTCAACACAATTAAAATCACACATATGCATAGGTAATTTTAGAATAACGAACCCACCTGGATTCCGGACTGATAACAGCAAAACATGAGAGACGTAGGTCGAGGCCTGACTCTTCAAACACCTACATTAAGTTAAGATCCTAAAATCAATATCTATCTTGACGTAAGCGGAAAAACACAAATCAGACTTAGTCGAACTTGATTCGACTAATCGTGATGTCCTGTGGACGTTGGAACACTCAGACTCAGCTTTAAGATTCAACCAAATACGCATGGGAGTTCACATAATCTCAATCAAAGATTTATCAAGTCAAACCAACAAAGAAACCGAAGGCGAGTCGATTTACAATTTTTAACACAAAAACCATATTTTGAAATTACTAGTCAATAAACACATAATTAAGTTGATCAGGTTGCCCTATGAACTAGACATTGAAATTTTAACAAAAAATTCACCTCCCAGTAGTTAGAAAAACCACCAAGATTGAGCCTCAGATTCATTATACATAATTTTATGAAATTCATACAAGTTAACAAAAAAACGAACATAAATTCACATCCAAACTTAATGAACGAATCACAACCTGATATTTTAATACCCACACACTACAGCATGTGAATGACAACATATAAAAATTTCAGCCATGGACATTAACTGTATGAATTTTAAAAACTCATACAAGTTTCTGCAGATTTTGAATTTTAATTAAAACAGAGCCAATTTGAACTCCAAAACTTTTAATCTTTTTACAGCATGAAATTCCACATAAAACAAATACTTCAGACAAATATCCGAATTTTTCAGCAAATGAACAATTTATCATAATTAAAACAACTTTCTGCAGAATTACAAAATAAATTATTTACCTTATCAAACCAAGTCCAAAAATTCTACAAATTTTACACAATGTGTAAACATGATAGTGGCATAACATACTCAAATTTCAGCATAATCTAAGCACGGACCAATTTATTATGCATTTCAATTTTTTTTTCCCAGAAATCACATTAATTATTTAAAATAGCTACAGGCTATGAGAAATTATGAAATTTTTACACAAGCCTTATAAACAGAGGATTTAACCCTTAAATTTTTAAGGAAATCCGAGCAATACACAATTTTTAACAATTTTAACACTAAAACAGCGAGTATACGAGTTCGACAATCTCACACATGAATCATAACACTAATTCTCGTCCGAGGCCTTCCCTTAAGGCCAACGACTCGACATGGTTCCAAAATCCACAGCCTTAGACGCGTTTCGAGGTCTCACTCGATTACTCAAAATCGAGGAGGTCCACAAAACACAAATAATACAATAAATCCCATTATTCACATAATATCATAACGTGTACATTAAAGCATGCTCAACACGTCAAATAAACACATAACGCAAACGATACACACAATTTAAGGAGACCAGGTTCGACTAGGTACCGTTCTCGGGAAGACGTACGAAAAACGGGACGAAGGAAGAACGAACGGCACATCGAAGGCGGCTCGTGGCTCGACGGCGATGCTTCCTCTCACGGAGGAGGTGTGGCTGAAGATGAGTCGTCGGGGCCCTGCTGGTCGCGTGTTCAACATTTACTGAGGAGGGAGTCGCCAGAACTCGCGAACAGAGATCGCGAAGGGATGGTCACGGCGTGGCGGAGCTTCTGTGGTGGCGTCGCGGCGCGGCGGGGCGTCTGTTCGCGTTGCGGTAGGAGGGCAGATCATCGGAAGTTCGCGAACAGGGGTTGCAGCAGTTGGTCGATCGCGGCAGTGAAGAGGGTTCACGGCGAGGGTTCGCCAAGTCTAGGCGCTGCTTCTTGCCGGAGGAGGGCTTACGGCTCTTATGGCGTGGCAGGGATGGGACTTCGCCCGTAAATCGTGACGAGGGATGCAGCTTCGCGAGGAGGTCGTCGGATTGTTGCTGGTTGCGGCGGAGGAGGAGTTAGCCGGACTGGTTCGCGAAGGAGAGAGCTCGCCAGAGATGTTGGGATCGCGGAGG